GGCCTGCGCAGGGCCCGCCCGGCCGGGAGGAGGCGGGGGAGCCGCTCCGGAGCCGGCCCTGGCGGCGGGAGCCCGCCCCAACGCTCCGTAGCGGAAGGGGTGTACCCCCAGCAACCCCACAGACCGAAGGAAACTGTTTATTTGGAAAACTTGGCACGGGAAATCTGCCCTTTTCTAACCCGCCCGGTGTAATTTAACAGCTGAGGGTACTGATCTACCACACTCGCGGGCCGCTGAAACTGAATCCTCACTATTATTTCCTACAATGTTCTCCAGAAATCATTGATTCAATACCACAATTTCAGTACAACTAAAATTTTCTATCCCAACAATTTGGTATCACTGGTTTCCTTGTCAATTTTCAAAGTAGGAACACAGAAAAAGTTTTGAAAGAATTGTCAAACATGCAATTCAGTATCACAAAGCAGCAAAGCTATACACACTGATGTAAGCTGATAAACTTACACTGTATCACAACATGCAGGACACATCAGGAGAAATGTTTTTCCAATTCATTTTTATTTTGGTTTCCACTGTTTACAGCACTGTTACAGGACTAACTCATGCAAATTTATCACCTTAAATACAGCAGAGAGAAACCTCACTGGTAAGAGTATTTCAAAGAGCTCCATCAACATAATGCAACAGGAAAAGTAAGTAGCAGCAATAAGATAAAAGTGCATTTAGCTGACCTTCTTTAATGGGAGTTTGGGGAAGACTGTTTTTGGAATTACCTGTTTTAAGGAATAGTTTAGCATTCTTCATGAAAATCAGAAGAGAACAAACTCCTCATGCTAGCATTCATTCTTCCACCACTCTCAATTAAAGAAGTACAGCTGTAATTTGTTTCAGACAAATCCAGCTTATAGGCCTGTCTGTTAAAAGTTTGATTCTTGATCACTTGGGCTTCCAGGACAAGGGCTACACCCACACATGTTAGCAGCTTTGCTTCTGAAAAAGTTCAAGTGGTTCTTTCCCCCGTTCTGTAGGTTAGGCTTCAGCTCTGCAGTGAGAATGCTGACAGCAGCCCGGCCTGAGCAGAGTCAGACACACACACAGCAGCAAGACACCGGGTTCTAAGAACCCACCAATCTCTTTTCCCTTCACAGATAAGACACTGGCGTAAAGATCAACTCATTTATCAGATTTCCCCTACGGGCCCACTGAGGAGATGCTAACACTACCTCTTCAAAAGCAAGGTCAGCATTTCAAGTAGTCATGAGCTGCTGAGCAGTAGTACATCATCCTCTGCCTTGACCTGGAATTGACAATATCCTTGTGTATTAGGGATGCACTTAAGATTTCAACTGAATAGAACAGAACATAGCTTATTGTAACTGTGTATGTGACATCTTGAGAGACTAAAGATTCAAATTTTTTCAACCAGACCTACAGTAGAGTAAGACTAGGTGATTCCACTTACTCCGATATACTTTAGCACAAGCTCAGAGTACACACTTCCAGAAGCAAGGAATTGAATTTCTTTCTTGTAAATCTATATTCCCATCCTGGTGGATGCCTGAGGAACCCAGTCAAGGTCAAAAAACTTTCTGATATAAACAGCTTTTCAGTTTGAGTTGGAGTCAAAGCACTCTACTGGAAGGGAAAGGTTTGTTTCCTTTCTGCATTCCAGGGATGAAAGAGCCTCACCACCAGCTCCTACACAATAATCAAGACACTTCAAGTCTTTCTGCAAATCTCAGAATCGCCTTACCTAAGAAGTAGTTACTGACATTTCACTATTTTTACTCCCTCAAGTATCAGGCAGCTTCTTTCTGAAACTTCCCTGATATGAGAAACATGGGATTTATCACAGGTGCATATATTCACACCTGAGCATGAAGGAGAACTCCTAAAGCCATTTCCAAGGGAAAAGTCTCTTTGTCAATAAGAAAAACACCTCACTGCTCAGTAGTTCTGAATTTAGCTGGGACCTGATCAGAGATAGCCCATATTCTGTGTGTGATGTTGAAGAAATTTAGGTTGTCAGTAACCTCAGAACTACAGGATCTGATCCTGGATTCCTCAGACATTTTGTAGGCAACAGAAAGATTATAACCAACACATGGCAAAATATTGACCCACAAAGAGGAAAAGAAGCTTGTAAGAGGAACTTAATCCTACTCAGGTTTCTAAAATCAGCAATAATTTCTTCTCTATCAATTCCAACAGGAAGAGACTCAAGTCCTTACAGTTACCAAATATTATACTCCAAATGCATCAGGGCAAAACTCAACAATTTATTTCATGTATTTGCAAATAAAGAATGTATTGAAAAAAAAACAAGTTGCTTTAAGCCATTCCTGACCTGGCATGACCTACAAGACCATGACTCCCCCACCCCAGAGGAGCTGTACTTGCCAGCATGTTCTGGTACTTTTAACAGAAGAGAAACATACCAAATCCTATTGCTGCCTGGACTGTAACATCCTGTGGGAACTCTACATGAAGCAACATCTCTTACAGCGTGAAATCCACATGCTGTTCTTGTGGCCAAATAGTGGTAATGGAATTCCACAGGCCTGCTTCCAGAAACACAGCTGTGCTTTTCCAAAGAAAACCCACATTCATCAACTGAGCTCATAGTGCAGTGCTTTACATTCTGCCAACTGGCTTCTCTTTCCTGGTTTTCCTCCTCAACAAACTGACAAATTATTCCAAATTAGCTCCTTCACAGGAACTAGTTCTGTCCTTGCAAACTATTTGTCCATGACAAGAAATGGGCAGGACTGTGTTATTAAAGAGCTCTTAGGAGGAAGAAACTAACTCCAAATTCACTAAGCTTACCAAAGCAAAATCTTAGTCCCTCTTGCACCAGAAGAGAACTGGGTTTTGTTCACAGGTTTAAGCATCCTGAGAGCAATAAACCTTTCTATGAAGGGACATTGTGATTTTCTGTTATGTTCTAGAATAATGGAATATTAACCTCAGAGACAAGCCTGTGTGGGCTATAAATGCTTTGTGAAACCATCAGGTCTGTGTGCGTGGGATCTGTGTTTAGTCAAACAGCTGCTTGTCACACATACATCAACCTGGGGCTAAGAAGTCAAAAGTTTTGTCTTTATGAAGTAAAACAATTGACTCCATAAAGATGTATCGGAATAACTTTCAACTTGACAAACATTTGCTTGACTGCTTTAAATTTGTTTAAAGCAAAATGAAGTACAGTAAAAGCCCCCGGTAAATGTATAAAGCACACACTCCTCCTCAAGTAGGCTGTGGTCTCACAAGGAAAAAGAAGAGTTATTAACAGCTAGTGTTTAGATGTGGGACACAGAACAGGGAAGCAGAATCCTACTGTTCACACAGCAACTGGAAACACAGCCATGTGCTCTTGCTCATTCCCTTTAGGGAATTCCATCACCCACCATGTTCTCTGCAGTAATTAAGAGAGGACTGAAGGAAAACTCTTGTTTTTCTCTTCTTCTCACACTATCTGCTTTGCTGCAGGTACTGATGTGTGAACATGTTGAGCTCGCTGTCAAGCCAACCTGCTTTGTTCCTGCAAGGACAGAAAATTTTTTTAGGTGAATGAAACAGCTCATCTCAAGCCAGTCAGAAAGAAGTACAAGCAAAAACAAGTACAAGCAAGACATGGAGTGCCAGAGTTTCATTCCAAAAGGCTGCTGCCGTTCCTTGCAGGTCAAGAATGCTTGCCTGCTGTCAGTCCCTAAGCTCTGAGGTTCAGAGATCTTGGACACAACTTCACACTGGTCTTACTGTGTAGGTAAGGAATGTCTGAAGAAGTCTTCCCAACAGCCTCTGCAGACAACTGCCTACAAAGGTGAAGGCAAGACTTTTTGTGTAATTTTTTAAGGGCCTGAAGGAGTTTGTAGGAGTGGAAGACTGTATGTTTTCATAAATGGGAAGGAACTGTAATTCCAAACAAATAAAAAACAGGAAGAAAAAGGTGGTTTGTGAGACAGAAGCTTGAAATGACTGTCAATAGTCCATAGGAAAGTACCTAGTGAAAGGGAACATTATTTGGTAGGGAAAAAAGCTGACACCTGCACATTAAGTGCTATGACGAAGACAGAATGAACTCTAAGCTACAGCTCATATGAACATCCTGGGGCAATCACATGAAAAACAACTGTATGGAATAATCAGATCTCACCTGAGCAGTTTTGCTTTGCTCTGCAGTGAATCCAAAACTTCAATTTTTTTATTCATGGCAGAAATTTCTTGCTCAAGATTCTCCCGTGTAACATCCACTTGCTGACACAAATGAGCAAACGTTCCAGCAAGCTCTCTATGAAACAAGAAGAGTTGAATATTATGGAAAGCAAGATCAAGCAGCACATTCAAGGAATAAATCCTTTTGATGAATGGGA